ATCGACTCGAATCGACTAGTTGGGTTGACTGCATGCGGTGGATTTAATCTCTTTCGATTTCAAGATTAAATCTTTCCTATTACTTCTTCTGGATTTATGAGTGGTGGGAAATCGTCTTGCCGTTATGAAGTAAAGGAACCGGAGCCATTAATAATTTGTAACGTCTCAGTCGTAAGTCGGTACCTATGTCAGAGGAAACCATTAGGATCGATCTTCAAAATTCTTAACGTTTATTCGGTGAGAGGAACGAGCTATTTGGCTAGGGGTAGGGTTCTGAGCTTGCATGTTTGCTTCACGTGCCTCGAATTATCGATGGCTCATAAGGAAATCCATTCTTAAAATAGCCGTATAATAGGCTGTATGATTCAATTCTAACTTTAGAATTATACTGATTGCATCGGTGAAGTGAGCGCTATAACTGTGTTCGTACTTTCGCAATTCGTTAAATCATTGAGGCCAGTTTTGTTTTATGTGGCAAAGCAATTTTCCCCGATTTAATGCTTTGAGTCGGTGAATGCCTCGAAACTGTCGGGCCATGGGGTTACATTTTTACACTCGCGTTTACAGTTTCGGACGCATCATGATTATGGATGTACATATTTAGACCCTATGCTCGTTGTTAACTTGCTCGTTTCATGGAAATAATTTTTCCGTCGATTTGACACATAATTAAATAAGATTAACACCAAACATTTCGGTTGTTCGTTTTTGCTAAAAAAATTAGACGCTATATTTACTAACGTGCTGTTTGTGTAGATGCGAAACAGTTGAATTTCATTAAGTTTCTTGCTACGATTTCGCTTTTCATCGACAATAATTCGACATTCAGCCGACTGACTGTTTGTTTATTTAAATTTATAAAAACCCTATTTATTTAGACAACATATCACAAATGCTTAAACACATCATGAAATGCCCCTCACCAAATTTCAAGTGGTCTCCCGATATATGTGAAATTATTTGAACAATTTTCAAGCGTTTCTAGTTCAGTGTCAGACACCTAAAACACTTGTAAGTTTTTACAATGCCACGTGTATTCCATTTTCGCATATATAGTAAAATTTTCATTAGCTATACATTGATATTGTGTACCAATAGATTTCAATAAGTTTCAAAACTTTTCTTCATAAATTGTTTAGAGTAAATCGAATGCAGGAGATTGTGAGGTTGCGATGTCCAGAGAGGAATTGAAATCTCGTGTGTTACTTTCGCTTGCAGAATTGTTAATTTTCACTTTTTGGCTGTTAGGAAACCTGTCTTACATAGACATTTATTGTCATTATACATTATCTACATTATTAGCTGAAGAGATTTGCCGCTACGCGTGCTACATGCGTTGGTATTGCCGTATTGGTGTGTGTAATTTTGTATATATACCTGAAAATACTATACGGAAATGACGGACGTTAAGAAGGCATGATAACGTATTAATGTTATAATCTCCACAAAGTTTGCGCCATCCTTATCTTTTTTTTGCAGTGGACATTTATATTACACACGTGCATCAATAATTCAAGACACATTTTAACTTTTTATGAAAGGGCTTTGGAATAAAAGAAAAACGGAATGACTATTTTTTATTAACTTTTTATATGCATGTTTTTATCGGAATCTTAGAACAATTTATATTTAATTAAACTATTAAATAATAATATAAATAAGTTAATAAATAGCTCGAGTTTTCAAAATTTGCTATACATGTGAGATCGCGGAAATTTCCTCCATTTAAATCCATGCCAACAACTAGTAGGTTCTTGAGCGTGGAAAGAAGCCACCAGATGTCTAGCTTTGTTGCACTGTTGCTCTGGACTCGGCGATGAATTTCTGTCCCTGGTACAACTTGCAAGTGTATTCTTCGGCATGGGAGCTCTGGAAATCCACAAACACCAAATAGGCGTATGGCAAGTGATTCTCCTGGCCGATAGTGAAGATAGAATGATTTTCGTGGCGCCAGGAGGTAACTTTGTTTCAAGACCAATACGGCCGAGAATTTGAACAGAAAATTCATTTTGTTTTTATTGATGTGGAGAAATTCTTTACCTCAGAATTTTTTTTTCTTGGATGAAGTGTTGGTTCGATGCTGAGTAGTAATGCGAGTAATCGGCAAAAAGTTGTTATATTTCACTTTGTTTATAACAAAATAAGTCGTCGTCGGCACTGAATGCAAGAAAAATCCGTTTGACAGCCGCTCTGTAGATCGTTGGTATCTCGACAGCTTTTGGCGTATGAATGAGCTTTGCGTTGGAAAAACTGGCTCTTTTATATCTCTGCGTCCCTTATCTAAGATGGCGCTGGCTCCTAATAATCTATCTGAATGCACAGTGCACACTCTTCCGGCCTAATGCTTGGTTATAGTATAAAATGGCAGCATAAAACGAATAAGTAATTCCTGTGAAGTGCCAAAAAGTTACTTGCGGATTAAATTACAAATGAAATACGATTATTTTTTTCTGGAATGACGTAAATGTGCTGTGTATGAGTCCACTAATTGAGGATGCGCGTACGTTCCGCCGCTCATTTCCTGTTAGAGGTGGGATCGATCGCGTGCCAACGCGTGCGAGTGACGTAACGCACGAGCCACTCAACACTCTGATTACACGGATAGTATATTAGTATAGTATCTTCGGCTTTGAAGAATAGGCCTGGTGTGGCCTACATCAAGACCAATATAGTAGTATAGTATCTTCGGCTTTGAAGAATAGGCCTGGATAGGCTTGTCGCCGATTCTTTTAGTTTTCTTGACTTGTTTACAGATCTAAAAGACTGGCCTTTTGATCAAATTATGCAAACAGGTCGGACATGCAATCAGGTCATTGATAGTTCACAATGAATGATGCAATCGTTCGGTCATCTTATCTGCGATGGAGATAGGGGCATTGAATGCAGGAGTTTGATAAATTTATCCTGGGTTACATCGAAACTTTGTAATCGTCGTTTCACAGTTGGCCTCATCCTGGCTTTGCTTTCGTAATCCGGCGTATGGGGCCACTCGTTCCCAGGGATTTAGATCTTGCATGTCCCACTGAATGCCTCGAATTCTCTGCTTGTGGATCGGAATTATTCTCAAGGGATGTGGCTGGGTTGGATTCCTGCCACCTCCTAGGGAAAGATCGGTCACTCCTGCAGTCAGCAAAGCAGGCTGCAGTGAACTTTAGTCTGAAGATACTTGCGAACAGTAATGCAATCGACTTGAATCGACTAGTCGGGTTGACTGCATGCGTTGAATATAATTTCTTTCGATTTCAAGATTAAATCTTTTCTATTAATACTTCCGGATTTATGAGTAGCCGGAAATCGTCGTGCCGTTTTGAAGTCAATGAACCGGAGCCATCAATAATTTGTAACGTCTCGGTCGTAAGTCGGTACGTCAGAGGAAACCATTACGTCAGGAAAGCACCCATCAAGATTCTTAATGTTTTATTCGGTGAGAGGCACGAGCCATTTGACGAGGGGTTCTAAGTTTGGCGTTCGCTTCACGTGCCTCGAATTACCGATGGCTGATAAGGAAGTTCTTTCTTAAAATAGCCGTATATTAGGCTATATTATTCAATTTTTACTTTAGAATTATTCTGATTGCATAGGTGAAGTGAGCGCTATAACTGTGTTCGTACTTTCGCCATTCGTTAAATCATTGAGGCCTGTTTTGTTTTAAGTGGCAAAGCAATTTTCCCCGATTTAGTGCTTTGAGTCGGTGAATGCCTCGAAACTGTCGGGCCATGGGGTTACATTTTTACACTCGTGTTTACAGTTTCGGACGCATCATGATTATGGATGTTTCTTAAAATAGCCGTATATTAGGCTATATGATTCAATTTTACTTTAGAATTATACTGATTGCATAGGTGAAGTGAGCGCTATAACTGTGTTCGTGCTTTCGCAATTCGTTAAATCATTGAAGCCAGTTTTGTTTTATGTGGCAAAGCAATTTCCCCCGATTTAGTGCTTTGAGTCGGTGAATGCCTCGAAACTGTCGGGCCATGGGGTTACATTTTTACACTCGTGTTTACAGTTTCGGACGCATCATGATTATGGATGCACACATTTAGACCCGATGCTCGTTGTTCACTTGCTCGTTTCATGGAAATAATTTTCCGTCGATTGGACACATAATTAAATTAGAATAAAACTATCATTTCGGTTGTTTGTTTTTGTTTAAAAAAAGTAATCTACACGCAATTAACTGCCGTGCTGCTTGTGTAGATGCGAATTAGTTGAATTTCATCAAGTTTTTGGCTACGATTTCGCTTTTCATCAACAATAATTCGGCATTCAGCAGACTGACTTTCTCGTTTGTTAAAACGTTTTCGTCACGCACAAATTTGTTTCCTTTCGTCGATGTGTACAGAGAACGTTTTTCTTGTAAAACTTTACATCATGCCAAGTTGAGGTATTGCAAGGGCCGTTATCTGTCTACTAACTTCTGACGTGGAGTTTGACCCCGACCTTCCTTTACTGATAAAGAAGGCTCTTTTTAGAAAGTCTAGCGAAGTTATAGCCCTATTATTTGACGTGTCGATCTAAATATGGAAGGTCTGAAGGAAAATTGATTACTATTCACTATCATGTGTTCCGTTGCTACTTTTGGGATCCGGATACTATAAATAAAAATATGCGCCTATCCCACAACTCTGATCACATATTTAACTTTCCAGTAGATCGGAAGTTTTGAATTAAATGCAATTATTTAATTACAGATGAATTTGTATTAGTACATTAAGGGTTTTTAACGATTCACAGTTGTGCGTGCTTTAATAGATTACCAATTTACTAACCTGCCTTTTCTTTTGTTTCCTATAACATTATCATTGTAACATTATTTCTGTTAGCAGCACGCAAAATGAATAATTTTTTGACGTAATTATACTGTATGATAAATTTCGATTGATAATACAATATTTCGCACATTATCAATTTCGATTGAGCGCACTTTTAAAACTTTGGTCAAAAAGATTGCATAGGGCAAAATTTGCCTAAATAGTTAAGTGAAGTTAAAGAAAAAGCCTGAAGTATCAAGTTTATTAGTTCACAACCGGTCATGTTGACAACGTGCAAACATGTAGACCTCTTAAGTTTTAGGTACATTTAAAATTAGTTACAAAACATATCACAAATGCTTAAACACATGCAGAAAATGCCCCTCGGATCACCAAATCTAAAGTTGTCTGCCGAAATATGTGCAATTAGTTGAACAATTTTCAAGCGTTTCTAGTTCCAGTGTCCGACGCTTAGAACACTTGTAACTTTTACAATGCCACGTGTATTTGTATTCCATTTTCGCACGTACAGTAGATGAAAATTTTTATTAGTTATACATTGATATTGTGTACCAATAGGTTTCAATATGTTTCAAAACTTTTCTTCATAAATTGTTCAGAGTAAATCAAATGCAGAAGATTGTGAGGCTGCAATGTCCAGAGAGGAATTGAAATCTCGTGTTATTTTGGCTTGCAGAATTGTCAACTTTCACTATTTGTCTATTAGGAAACTTGTCTTAATTAAACATTTATTGTCATTATACTTTATCTACATTTTTAGCTGAAGAGATTTGCCGCCACGCGTGCAACACGAGTAAATTCAGCGTTTGCCAGGAATTTTCAGATTTTCACTGTATTTCGACTCACTGCTAAAGCCTTCTTCACCGCCAAGTTAATAAATCGCCTCACCAACACTGGTTAAAGATGCTAGACTTCATTCCTAGTAACGCTAACGTTTAGCTTAAGCTCTTTGGGGGCCATTTCTGGACTTGCCGCGCTTTCGTGTAGGACGGTTTCATTTCATATAGATAAGGAAATTTACCCATTAATTAAGAACAAAAAATATATCGTTTGCGATGACCGTTGAAGCTCTCTGATCTACAGCTGAATTTTTTTTATATTTTTAGTTTTGACTTTATTCCTTACACATTTCTCTGGCAATTTCCCGGTTTTTCTTCTATTAATGCCAAAATTCAGCCATAAAAATATCTACTGCACGCCGAAAGCAGACAACTTTTCCTGCCCGGCATTAAAATAATAATAATAATAATATAATAAATTAAGCGACGCATAAAATGCACCGCGGGCGCCGCCACGCATGACGGATGCTGCAAAGTAAAGCCTTATTTTAAATGAGTGAGCAATAAACACCAGCTTAAATTAGTTTTAGATGGAAGCCACTCGTGCATTACACTCAAATCGGTGAAATTATTTCATTTGACATCAAAATCTGTACTAATAGATGCAGATAATTGGGCCTATTCGTAGTTCAATTGCAGGGTATACACAGAAATTTTCAGAAATAAAATTAGGTAACTCCTCATTTTGAAAAAATTCAAAATTTTTGGTTCTTTCGCTAAATTGCAAGGGGCGAGAAAATGAAAGTAGGTATGAATTAATTGTATGGATGGCCAGTCACCGATGTATTTCAAATGTACTAATGATGATGATGAACGCTGAGCAAGACTACGAGGTCGCAACATCATGCTAATCTCTTTACAAAAATAGACTAAAACTGTTGTTAGATTGAGCTCTTGGTTTCGGAGCTGACAACGCTCTTGTATTGCGGCGGTCAGTAATTCATTAGGACTATAGTACCTGGACACATTTTCTGTCATGTCTTATATGCTACTACGAATATTGACATCGATCTTCTGCTTTTTTATGTACAATCGAAATATGAATGTTGGACACACGTTGGTTGTACTATCTATTTGCGTCATCAAGACTGATCGAAATATCGATCGGTTGATCCGAGTAATTTTAGGAAAGTGTTCCGAGTTTAGGTGTGAACAGTTACACACCATGTGAACTGTTCTACAGCTCCTCACTCAATAGGGTTAATGCTTGTATTTGACCTAAATTGGTCGCTGCTTGAGCCCACTAAAGGCATTCTCGAGATTGACAAGACATTTTTAGTGGACATGTAGACAATAGTGAAATGTCAATAAATCACAATAGTTTAGTGGACAAGACATTTTTAGTGGACAATAACTGATGTGGACAATATTGATGAGGTGCACAAAAGACCGTAGTTTAAATCAGTAACTTTTTTAAATCTTCCTATAATATGACCTACACTCTGAATTTCGTTAAGTTTCATCAGATTTATTTCCTGAAGTATCTCGAATTTTACTTGACGCGCACCTAAACATTGAGCTTCATGTGCGCCAAAACATTGCGGAATCGTAAGATGAAAAACTGTTCACCAGTTTTTTTATAAATCGAGGATCGATATATTATTTAGGTGGGTTCATATTTTAGTTTTTTGAGCTGTGGTTCCTCGTTTTTTTCAGGATCCACTCCGTTGATTGCCTGCCTGCGGTCTCCATTGGATATGCCGCTGGGACTGAGGCCTCCAGAGAAGTTCTCCCGTCGCGCTGACAGAAACTGTCGACATGAACAAACCTGATGCTCTTACATTTGTAACTAATTTCTACTCACAAATAGGTAAAATTATTTATGCATGAATGTTAACGGTTTAATATACATGGTCGATATCCGGTTTAAATACTATAATGACAGTTAGGTACTTCATGCCTGAAGGAAATGTGCATCATAGTTGCATTTTACTTACTTCGATTTAAACTTGCAGTCATGAGATTAATAAATTACACTGCAATCTCATTAAGTAAGATCGCAGGTTGAATATAATATTGGAAAATTGTTTCATCAAATAGCCGGTCGAAAAAAATGGAACTGGTCCGTAAATGATAACGCTGACCGTAATAATTCACCCGTGATCAAAACGGAGATAACATTATTCTGTTGCTCACCTCAGACATGACGGCTATGGGAGTGCGGCCCAGCACGTTGGCCACTCTGCGCTCGACAACATAGAACATATACTCGTCGTACAACAGCCTGATCAAGTGGAAAGATCCGAACGACGCCGCGGATCTCAAGGTGAGATCTCTGATCACCATCGAGCTGCCCAGAACATGCATGTAAATATACAGTTCTCAATGTTAAGGACATAATATTCTGTAGCGAATACTGCTCTGAAATATTCAGTATATAATATGCTGTAGCAAACTCGCCAGCTTGAGACACGGTTTCGTGTCTACCATTGCATTGTTATAAGCCTTCTTGCCTATTTGTATTAGGATTGTTAAGATCTATGATAATGTAAATCAGTTTAAATCTACTCTTGTTAACGATTCACAAATTTATAGCAGCACATTGCAAAAAATAATTTAGTAGGGCTGGATCAAATATATTTCAATGCACATTTTCGAATAGAATTCCAACTTGAATGGCCACATGCAAGTGGCTACAAGATATGATTTCAAATATATTGCGGTAATATGAACCTGTAGAAGCTCCATTTGAGCAGGAACTGGCGCGCATGCAGAGGAAAGTCGGCCTGTGCGCGGTGAGGCTCGAGGACGTCGTCGACGAGCTTGTTGAGCCACTTGGCCCAGTCCTCGAGGCTGCTCGGCCGCTGTAACGTCACCTTGAAGTCCGCCTCTAGTCGGGACACTATCGCCTCGTCGCACCCGCACACCCAACTCGCCTTCAGCATACAAATTAATTAGCATATTCCACAGTAATAAACATCTCGTATCTAACACACACAAACTGTGCGAGTATTTATAACATTACACCAAATACCTATATACTGTAACTCAATATGACATTGATATCGAGAAAGCATTGATGGTTACATCAAAAATTGCTAATAAACACCAACAGAGCATCCATATCGATCTAGTATTGCTGAAAGTCAATAATATGAGACGAAGCAGTGGTGCCTTAGTTACCTGTTCATGAACGTTATGGAAGTCAACTCTGTTGAGATCCTGCAGCATTTGTTGTATTTGCTCGCCGTTGTGCAGGACCGCGCGTGCAGCCTGCGCCAGGTGGTTGAGGGACGTGTAGCGACGCAACATCTGGCCCAGCGATGATACCGCGACGATCTGCAACGGTCTTGTGAATCATTTATTTGCGCACTGTGATTCCTAAAGTAATGGTTTGTATCATTTTCGGGAAATACTGAGGTGCACGAAATAATTGATGCTGCACAAACGTTTGTATATTATTTATTTGCGCACTGTGATTCTTAAAGGTTTGTATTATTTTCAGGAAATACTCAGGTGCACGAAATAATTGATGCTGCACAAACGGAGTTCAAAAATCGTATATTAATATTGCTTCAGATTTTAAATCTGTAAAATTAAAGTAGCGTTCCAGTAGCTAAATAGAGCAATAGCATAACGACCTACGTCACCTACACTTGAATTGGCCTCGTTATATTTTTACCCTCGGCTTGGTTTGTTCGTGAGCTTATCTAGCGCATAGGTCCCGCTCGTAAATGTGGCTTGTCTGGGGACAAATGAATGTTTCGACTATTTTGCATGTTGAAGACATTATGGAACACTATGCTAACGCTCGAAGACATTTGTCTTGACTCAGAAGTTCGAATGATATTGACTTCTTGGCAAAGTCTATATCATTGCCAGAGAGCTATAGCTGGTGGATGTGACAGAGCTTTGAGGAAGGGACATAGATGAGGTGGAGACGAAAAAATGCTCCGTAAGAAGCGAAACAAAGTATACAAAATACCGACGTAGCTAGAAAAGTCACAGGTCACATTATCTTAATCATTGCGAGGCAGGAGCTTAGTAAGTGCGCTCTTTTATCATATAACATCACTTGGACCAACCAGCAATAAAAAATCAACGCTCGCAGAGTTTAAATTCCAATTTGTTTGCACCTTGAGGTGTTGTAATTGGCGAGGGCACCCAAGAAGCGCCTGAGAAAGCCAACCCTCGAGGCTCTTAGCGAAGTTACGGACGGACTGCGTGAGGTTCGTTGGTATGGAGCGCAGCACGTCTGGCACCAGCACGTCTACCAGACACTGGTACAGCGCGTAGTCTGCCGTCTCCACGAACTCTAGCACAGGACGCGCCCGCATCAGAGCCTGCACCAACAACAATTGTTACCATCAACGAATACCATGAATAATTAAACAGGAAAAGTGTATAACTTTAATATTTTAAAAATGGTAATCACCTAGCCACATCGAAAGTAATTTTATTATCTTGATAAAAATGCATTGTCAAATAATGAAATGTTCTTATTTTGGCAGTCGTAATGATGCAACATTTCGATACTCAGTTTCGAGGTACGAATGAAGTTTCAAGTTTATTAGTTAAAGTGAGAACTATTTACATTGCGTAATCTTTTCCCTTAAGCTTCACCTGCAAAGGACCAGGCGGTATTCTAGTGGCAAGATTATTTTCATCATCTTCGTCTATTTGTGAGAGAAACGCATCTTTGACGTCCATTGCGTCGTCGTTGTTGTTATTATTGTTGTTGCCTCCCATATGCCAGAACTTCTTCCAGATGCTCTCTACAGCAGAGAACTGAAAAAGAAGAGTCGTGTAATACACAAAGTTTAACGGCAAACTTTACCCAGAAATGTAACTACTCGAGATACCTATAAGTTGCAGACTCGTACGTAAAAATATTGAAAGACGGTATCCAATTAGAACAAAACGTCTGTTGAAGGAAGAATTCTTTTCGCCCAAGCTTGAAAATGAGATAAGTTCCTACAACGAGTCAGAGCAATAAAAGTTTGAGTAAACGACTACTTCTTCAAGTTTTTATTCATCTCAAAGATTATTAATGCGAATGCCGAGATAATATCCATCGTAGAACTAATAAACGCCGTAGAAAATTATAGATGATTGCCTACGGGAACAGTTGTGGCGGCCAGTAACCCATTGCATGAGGCCAGTAGCATGATAATTATTTGCAGTTGGTAATTAACAGTTTAACTTGCAGCCACTACTCTCCCCGTGTTGAAGAATCTGAAGAGCGGTCGTGGTAGTGAAGATACACTGTTAGAAAAAACGGTCCCCCTAGCGTTCTAGTGGCCGGTCGCCACGTGAAAATAAACTAACACTATTAGAAAAAACGGTCCCCCTAGCGTTCTAGTGGCCGGTCGCCCCGTGAAAATAAACTATTTCGCCGTTTTTATCAGATGTTTTACGGATTTCTAGTGTTAAATTAGAATAAAAACGGCGACACGGCGTTGTTTTTCACGTGCCGACCGGCCACTGAAACGCCGGTAATACCGTTAACGGTAATTTTTGTAACAGTGTACCTTGAGAGCGTGGACGGCATCCTGCAGTGTGCTGCAGTGTTCCCTGTACAGGTCCGAGAAGGTGTTCACGTGTGTCATGGTCACACCGGGCGGCAGTGGGTTAGCGCCCCACTCTATGTCAGGGAAAGCCAGCATGTCGCTGTCACCCAGGTACTGTTGGTTCGCTAGCGTCTGCAAGCACGAACATTTCATGAACCCAAACAAATAAAGGGAAAACAAAATAGAATATTACGAGAAAAAAATGTGACTCGAGAATATTACGAGAAAAAATATTGTGAGAAAAAAATGGAACTTTCTCACTGTGACTAAATTCACAGAGAAAAAGGTGCAAGATCGTTTCATAAAGGCAATGAAGGATGAAGATTAAATCGAATAGTAGATAAAGTAAAGAAGTTGAGAAATAATCCACACAAGAAAAAAAAGAGGCTTTCACTGGCAACGTTAACGAATAGCTTTAAAAAATGAAAGAAATGGGTTGTGTGAGAATTTTAAGCATTTACTGCATTATCTGCTTGCATTGATAATTTAGTGTATGGCCTATAAAAAAAGTCATACGTTTCAAAGTGGTAGTGGCTTTCTTGCAAGTGTCTACTAGGCGCGATATTTTACATTCCAGGCCACTATTGCTTAACGAGTGATGTCATTAAAATATTGCCAGTACATACAAATTCACGGTAAGTATTGCGGGTCAACAATTAACCAAGTGAGGTCACTACAATTTATAACTCCACGTTGATTTTGCATTGATTGAATTATCAAAAAATTAAACCTTTCGTTCAGCTTACATTGCTGACTTAAATATATATATTTTACAAGTTTAGGAAGTATTTGCGTATATTTTGGGATTTTGATGATAAATATGAAGCAGTACAATTGTATAACTTTCAAGAAATAAATATAAGGTCACCTGAGGGCTGGCGTCAGCCGGCATGGGGCGCTCGTAAGCGCCAGACTCGCCGTACGCAGAGCTTGTCTTGCCAGCGCTGCAGCTTCCCTGGACAACGCAACGAGAAATGTTCAAAAGCTATGCTTTGAAATACTCACCACTCTATTACAGATTAAGAAGAACTGGTAGCTAATTTAAAAAGTGTAGAAAACTAAACTTTTTAATAATTCTGACTCATAGTTTCCTTAGATTAAAAAAACTGGTAGTTAATTTAAAAAGTGTAGAAAACTAAGCTTTTTAAAAATTCTGACTTATAACTTCCTTTTCAGTAAAATGTAACTAACAAGTAGTTGATTTACAAAAAATATTCAAGACAGAGATTGTCTGCCCTGGTTAGTGATTGTGAAAGGCAGAGGGATTATTGTTGTATAGAAATTTTTCCGTCATAAAAAGTAATGAATGAATTATAGATAGATTATATAATTCACGAGAACAAGTCTTGAAATCGAAGGAAACCTAAAATTCAGGCACATCCTACAGTCCTCAAAAAGTCAGTGCTGGGATATTAGATAAGATGAAGCTCGTGCCTATACCCCGATAAAACAGAACCGTGAAAATTATACAAAGCATGACTGCATTGTTATTCCTTCAATTCAATTATAAAATAACCTGAAATGAATGTATCTTCTTGGATTGTTATTCCTTTAATTCAATTGTAAAATAACCTGAGATGAATGTATCTTCTTGGCTGATGGAGAGTCGGGGGATTGGTGTGGTGGAGACTGTCCTCCGTCATCGTTGAGGCTGAATAGCGGCGACGTAGGCTTCACGCGTATACCGTAGTAGTGATATTTGCTGTTGCCTCTGTAGGGGTAAGCAAGTAATTTAATATACTTATAGGTAGATAAAACATTACAGCTTGATACTCGTGCAATATTCCGTAACCTACACGGTCACCGATATTGATGACCCTCTGTACCGTCCCACTCTCAGTATATACACGTGCCCGCGTGAGAAGCAAACACGTGCCTACGTAGGAAGCAAACACAAGCTCACGTAGGAAACAAGCACGTACCCACGTAGGAAACAAGCACGTACCCACGTAGGAAGCACACACGTGTCTACGTAGGAAGCAAACACGCGCTCACGTAGGAAGCAAACACGTGCCCATACGTGCCCACGTAGGAAGCAAACACGTGCCCACGTAGGAAACAAACACGTGTTTACGTAAGAAGCACACACGTGCCCACGTAGGAAGCAAACACGCGCTCACGTAGGAAGCAAACACGTGCCCACGTAGGAAGCAAACACGTGCCCGCGTAGGAAGCACACGCACGTGTTCACGTAGGAAGCACACGCACGTGTTCACGTAGGAAGCACGCACGTGTTCACGTAGGAAGCACACACGTGCCCACGTAGGAAGCACACACGTGCCTACGTAGGAAGCACGCACGTGCCCACGTAGGAAGCACACACGTGCCTACGTAGGAAGCACGCACGTGTTCACGTAGAAAGAGCGCACGCGCCAACAATAAATCATGCAGGCGAGGAGCTACAGGTCCAGAGGGTCCATGAGTGCGATCGCGGCCGATAAGGCCACTCGCTCATGCTAATCAAGTCGAAGAGCCATATTTTGACGGCGTAGTTAAGGCAACGACAGTGAAGTATCGAGTCCATGCCACGCATTGCCATGGCAACCAACGCCGCAACACAGGGCTGCTGCCAACCCATCTTATGTAAGGGCACGAGCCCCGTTACCTTGGATACCAGCGGCTCAACACAACCGTGCAGCACATGCGACACAACCGCGCAGCACATTCTACACAACCGCGCAGCACATGCGACACACCCGAGCAGCACATGCGACACACCCGAGCAGCACATTCTACACAACAGCGCAGCAAAACCGCGTAACAGTTATAACTCAGCTGAGCAGGTTGTTTTCTGTGTTGCAACGCCTAAGAGTGCCCCGCACTGCACGACTATTCAGCGAAGCCGTGCACACTGCACAGGTCTATCCCTCGAGGAGAGACACTCGAACAAGAGGTCGCTTACACGGGACGTCGGCCGCCCGCACGAGAGAGACAGAGAAGGGAAATGTAAGGAACCCTACCTACATAAGATTCCTTACATTTCTCATTTCAATAAGATCTAGATCTCAGTTCAGACCTAAGAACAGACCTGGTGCCCAGTCGACGAGTTCGTAGACCCATGAAGACGCTGCGTATAAGCTTGCCAAAGGAAGCAGCGTTGACAGGGTCGAGCTTGTGGTCGGCGCAGTGTCTGATGTAGTAGTTGTAGAGGGTGGACCGTGGCAGACTAACGCCCTCTGCCGGCTCGTAATTGTCCTTGAGCCACTGCACCTATGTCCAATAAAATAATATCTTATAGATAGAAAAAGCATTGAATTTTCTCGCGTTCATCCTTTTACATTCCCACAAGATATCACACGGATGAATAGAATATTAAGGGCATATCCTGCCCAACGTCGTCGACAAAAAATCTGCCACCAAATGCCGCTCTTATTCAGATATCCAGAGAAGCTTGGATGTGCGTATCTAATAAAATGAGAGAGCATCGAAACTCAATGCACGATCTGAAAAATATTTTTTAAAAATTGAAAAACGGCCAATCATCGTCCGGTTTTGATTATTCGATATGAACAATCGTCATTGTATTTATCTAAGATTTAAAAAATAATTACTTAAGAATGATAAGTTCAAAACAAGCTTAAGATAAGTCTGCTAAGCCAAATGTGTCGCTGCTGATATCTTACCGAAGCTGGGGAAACGCGGTTAGCCTGCGCGATGCTGTTGGTCTGAACATCACCGTCTGCTCCTGTGACCACAAACTCGATGCTGCTGCCTTCATCACTGTGTGTTGTGAGGAACACATTGCCTTCATCACTGTGTGTTGTGAGGAACACATTGCCTTCATCACTGTGTGTTGTGAGGAACACATTGCCTTCATCACTCTGTGTTGTGAGGAACACATTGCCTTCATCACTCTGTGTTGTGAGGAACACATTGCCTTCATCACTCTGTGTTGTGAGGAACACATTGCCTTCATCACTCTGTGTTGTGAGTCAGTGCAAATACACCTTCACACATGGCACACACTCAAGAGCATATAAGGTGTCTCATTGCAATAATAGGTCACTTGTTTGGTTAAATGAGTGGAGAATTGTATAGTGATCTACAGGAGTACAATGAATGGTCGTGAGAAGGTGATAAATGATAAATGCTCCTGTGTGGGCAATCTTGTTATAATAGGTGAGTTGTTTGGTGGAAGATAAAAGAGTGGTGAATTGTATAGTGATCTACAGGAGTAAAATGGTTGTGAGAAGGTGATAAATGCTTCTGTGTGGGCAATCTTGTAGAACTTTAGTCACATGTGTGTTCATTTAGATGTATGTGTGTGTGCGCAGGAATGTAGAGTTATTATGGTGCATCGTTATTAGTGTGGCTAAAAACTAGTGACAATAAATTGTGTTGTATAGGTAAAAACACTTCTAGAAACCATAGCAGTAATCATGTGCTGTGATCTATTCACACTTCACCTACCTGAAGTTGGAAGAGTATAAGAATATTTCAGTAAATATTTAACCAAAAACTATAGAATAGATCAATAAGAAAGAATATTGAAAAAAATGCATGGTTGAATTGATGAATAAAGATGCCCGAGATTTTGTATATATACTATACAACGAAAATATTGATATTAAGTGTGAAGTTGACTAACTTCATCGCAGAAATATGCGATGATCAATTTATTAAATATTCCCAATTAAAAAAAAAAGACATAAATCAACGGAGATTCAAAAGCTCATGACAATCGTTTATAGATGACTCAATGATGGTCATAATAAGAACTCGTTCGAGTTGTAAAACCGCAGTTAAATTAGTATTCGAAAATGGAATGTAATATCCTATACATGTTAATAGTTGTAGAAATAATTTCAAGCAAACATTAAAAGAAAAATACGAACAAATCACACACGGCAGGACAATTCGGACAATTCAATATCACAAAGAAGAAATATCAGTCTCACAAAAAATAAATAATAATGCATTACCATAGTATGATATGAAATACTGGCATTACATGCATGTCCACACATAAATAGAAATGATTGAATTAAAACAGTGTTCGCTTGTGCCGATCTTTACCACTTCAGCTGACATCCTGCAGCATCCTTCTCGACCGCAGCCGATATCGCAAACGCTAAAATACTTACGGGGCTATGGGACCTCTTAGTCCCCCGTCGTATGTTGCCTACGCAGTACGCACATATACATTTCATTTTGCACATGAACATACATTTAAATACTGAATATACGTACATACTACTTTCTTCTGGAACTCGCATTTTATACCAAATATACGTACATTAAATTCTGTATTAAAATATAATTTTTTTGTGAATACGAGCGTTAAATTTTCTACCGGAATGGAAGACATTTCTGAATAATGAAACGAGTGAACTCGAGTGAACTTCAGAAATATCTTCGGAACTTGGCGGTGAATCGAGCGAGCAAAAGGGTTACATATTAACACGAACGAGCAGCGGATCCGTCATTTCCTTCAAATCAGTGGTTCCCAAAGTGGGCGATATCGCGTCCCCCCCCCCTGGGGGCGGTAGAAAGATCTTTGAGGGCCTCTGGAAAGATCTGTGTTCAACCTTTCTCTTTCAAAATTTTAGCATACTAAATATCAAGAAAGAGGCGTTTGTTTTTATACGTGTCTGTTTGCAGGGGGGCGCTAGATTCACTGGGGAGCCAAGGGGGGCCGCCAGCCTGTAGAAGTTTGGGAACCACTGCTTTAAATACTGAGGCGGAAGATTACAAGATTACCTTAGAACGATTCGCATAAAGCCCCTTTCTGCAGTCACTTTTAAAAATCCGTCAAACAGGAAGTCAGAACAAGTCTCGGAAGCTAAACCTTGAATATGCTAAGAAGTTAGGGAATTAAAGCCACAATCGGCAGCTGCTTGCGACGTCACGAGTGTCACTATCACGAAATAAATTAAAACGTTGCAGCAGCGGCCATATACTGGTCGGTGGAACATCCGAGAGACACACGCATTTAACTACTTAGAAAAATATTTTCGATATGCCCAGACATGGACGGTCGCCATAGCAACAGCTGCGGCACCTCAGCATCGCGTCCTGGCATCTCTAAAGCCTCACTCACTGCGTGCATCCATCGCAGAAAACCTATACCGATGGCAGCTCAAGTCTTAAAAAACTTGAATAAAAAAATATACTATCAAATTTTGGTAAGCTAATTAATTAAAAAAAAAAAGATTAAATTTTGTAACGAGCATCCCTTGCACAAAGCTGCTCATATCCAACGAAAAAAATAATAGAGCCATAAGCTCCACAGCTGTTGCGCTGAAACTCTGACATAAATGATTAGCGACAAGAATGCATTACACACAAATGACCAAGTGCATTTAATTCCTATTTCTAAATCACAGTTTTTCTATAACACCATATTTTTCAAATTTAAATTAAGCCCGTTTCTGCACGTAGTAAATATAAACAGGAAACATATATCCGAAAGCAATAAGAGATTTGAAGTATATGCATCTGATCAAGTAGAGATATGAACCAAGGCTGAGAAGTGCGGCATGTGAACGCCATGACAACAAGACATGCAGGCGCGGACACACCGTCGCGTTCATCACGGCAGTCACCACGGCAACAGCCGCCGCTCCAGCCTATTTAGCAGCGCCCTACGCCCACCCTCGCGCTCCCAAACGCAGTGCTAAATAACCAAATGCTCAGCGAAATGAGGCTCAATAGTGTAAAGTTTTTACACCCATTTCTGTTTAATTATTTCTATCTAGAAATTATTCTATTTCTATTATCTATATTATTTTAGACACCCATGCCCAGAAACACGGCGCTGAATAACCAAATGCAGAGCTAAGTGAGGCTCAATAGTGCAAAGTTTTTACACCCATTACTGTTTAATTATTTCTATCGTGTGTGGATTTTAAAGACCCGTGCCTAGACACACAGTGCTAAATAACCAAATGCTCAGTGGTATGAGGCTCAATAGTGCAAAGTTTTTAGACCCATTACTGTTTAATTATTTCTATCCAGAAATTATTCTACTTCTATTATCTATATTATTTTAAACACCCGTGCCCCGAAACGCAGTGCTAAATAACCAAATGTTCAGCGAAATGAGGCTCAATAGTGTAAAGTTTTTAGAACCATTTCTGTTTATTTCTATCTAAAAATTATTCTATTTCTATTATCTATATTATTTTAAACACCCGTGCCTAGAAACGCAGTGCTAAATAACTAAATGCTCAGCGAAATGAGGCTCAATAGTGCAAAGTTTTTACACCCATTTCTGTTTAATTATTTCTATCGTGGGTGGATTTTAAACACCCGTGCCTAGAAACGCAGTGCTAAATAACCAAATGCTCACTGAAATGAGGCTCAATAGTGCAATTTTTATACCCATTTTTGTTAAATTATTTCTATAGTGGGTGGATATTAAACACCCATGCCCAGAAACACGGCGCTGAATAACAAAAATGCAGAGCGAAATAGTACAGAGATTTTAGACCCATTTACATAGGCTAATATCTGAAAATAGGTACATAATTCCCGGGTGATTTACGGAAACTTCCTGTTTTGCATTTCGCGCCAAGCAGCCAGATGTTGTATGATAAGGGAGGGGAGTATTTCATATGAAAGGCTAAGTCATGAAGTTTGAAATGATCGATTATTGGAGTCATAACAATCCGCTTGAACTCTATCAGCGGCCACTTCATTGTGAACGCGTAACTGTGTGGTGTGCGGTGTCGGCATGATTGATCCACATTTCTTTAAGGAAAATGAACACGCAGCAACAGTGACTGCAGCTCGGCACACGCAAATGATTATTAACGCGTTTTTTTTTGCCAAAACTGGCTGAAATGAATTTCCGGGATGCCTGGTTCTGACAGGGTGGAGCCACGGCCCACACAGCGAGGTCTTCAATGAATCGTCTGCGACAACATTTTGCAGAGCGCCTCATCTTCTTGAGAGGTGACCTTCTTTAGCCGGCCCGATACCCCGATTGGGCTTCGTGTGATTTTTTCATGGGTTATCTTAAATCAATTGTTTACAGTGAGGGTCCAAGAACCTACATCATTTGAAGAACAACATACGCCATGAACATACGGACATGATGTCATGATCAGATTTCATCTATAAAACTAAGTGATAAAAAATTCAGATAATGTATTTTTCAATAAAACTAATTTTGTAATGATATCTTTACTAGTACCTACTTTTTTATTGAGCTTTCACACGAGGAAGTTTCCGTGAATCACCCTGCATTAATATTATAATTAATCCAAGGATAGTAACACGTACGGACGGAAAACAGAACTTAAGAAAACAGAACAGTACCGACGGAAGAAAGGAGAAATGAAGGAATGCTGTGTTCCATTACGTACGTTGAGACATAAAATAGAACTAGTTGTAGAAAAAACACTCGATTAGAAGGTATGAAAATTCATATCGTTCTTGTGATGCCCGTAAAATGAAATTAAATTCGAAAAAAATGTGAATTTGAATATTTAGTAAAACTGGGTGTATTGAACAAACGATTTCACGAGGTTATCGAGCGATGATGAAGCGCGGGATTGTTCTCATAGAACAATTATTATCCATAGAATTATTGTATCTATATAATAAATATTTATATAACTACTGTATCTATAAAACTATGTCTCTATAGAACTATTGTATCTATAACTATTGTGGCAATAGAACTTGCAGTATTCATGAAAAATAAAATGAAATGGGAAATACGCTGGCTGCTTGACAGTTGCGTTTTATAAATGTTCGCACAATTTTGCCGAAGTTAAAGTCCCTTAAAAACAAGGATTGTAAAAATATTATAACAAATTTCAAGTTACTTTAAGATTGCGGCTACAAGCTACTCAAAGTATTTTGTCGTAATAAAATTACTAGATTGCTTAAATCGCAAGTTAATCAGGAATTTAAAAGCAAAGAAAACAGCCAGAATATTAACCATTTTTATAAGAATGAAAACGTTTTCATTCTTAAGAAA